CAAGGGCTCATGAGGGAGGGGAAAAATGAGGACCTAATGCCAGAGGCTTAAGTGGAGAGGAAATGTTTTGAGAATGATGAGGGCAATGAATGTCCAAATGCGCTTTACACAATTGATGTATGTATGGATTGTGATAAGAGTTGTATGAGCCCCTAATAAAATGATTAAAAAAAAATCTTGTCCTTAGATTGTTTTCTTTTTGATGTGATCGTGTATGCAAATCCTAAACCTATAAACTTTCTCAAACTTTTAAAAGTCTCATAACATCAACTTAAATATTTAATTTTAGACCATTTGTGAAAATTCAGTAAGGTCTTCTGTGCCAAGGGTATGTATTGTTGGAAAAGTAAACCTCACAAAACTAAATAAATTCTCTTACATACCTTTAAAAAGAAAAAGGTTTCTTTCTACTCCTGTTTTTTTTGTTTGTTTGTTTGTTTGGGCTTTTTTTTCTCCTCCCTCCACCTCCAAATGCTATTTTTTTTAATACTCATTCTGTTGGGGTTTTTAACATGAATGAGGGTTCTGTTTTAGCGCATGCCTTTTTATGTATTGTCAATGTAGTGAGATTAAGCTGACAGTTTTTCTGAGTAATATCCATGTGGCTCAAGCTTAGAAAATATACTTGTTTAAAAAAAGAAGAAGAAAATGTACTTGTTTATAATGGGTTCTTTAAAAAAGCTTTAGACATTGTGTTGCTGTTGTTGTCAGGGGAGGTCATGCTGACCCAGACTCTGCCCCACCCTGTTCTATTCGCTGTTATGTTTGAGCCCATTGTTGCAGCCACTGCGTCATTTCAACTTGTCCAGCGGCTTTCTATTTTTCGCTGCCCTTGTACTTTACCAAATATGATGTCCTTTTCCAGGGACTGGTCTCTCCTGACAACATGTCCAAAGTACACGAGGTGAAGTCTTCCCATCCTCTCTTCTAAGGAGAGTTTTGGCTGTACTTCTTCCAATACAGATTTGTTTGTCCTTCTGTCAGTCCATGGTACTTCCAATATTTTTTTCAGCCCACAATTCAAATGCATTGATTTTTCTTTGGTCTTTCTTATTCAATGTTCAACTCTGACTTGCATATGAAGCAAATGAAAGTGCCATGACTTGGTCAGGTGTTTCTTAGTCCTCAAAGTCACTTCGAGGATTTTAAGAGGTCTCGTGCAGTATATTTGTCCAATGAAACACATTTGATTTCTTGACTGCTGCTTCCATGAACATTGATTGTGTATCCAAGCAAAATGAAATCCTTGACAACTTCAGTCTTTTATCTCTTTATCATTATGATATTTGTCTGTTGGTCCAGTTGTTAGGATTTTTGTTTGTTTACACCGAGTTGCGATCCTTGATTTGAAAAAAAAAAATAAATTCCCAAAAGCCTTTAATAAGAATGGACAATTTGCTCAAAATTCAAATTCACTGGACCAATGGCAGTCAATCAGTTACTTCATGTTCCCAACCTTATCTGTGAATAATTTGACTGATATGTTAATGCTTCTTTGTAAACTTTCAAATAATTGTGAACTGTCCCTTTGTGTAATCCTGTCGGGAATTGCAGACTACATGCAGGAAATATAATTAAGCCTGCCTCTAATAAAATTAGGGGCCCTGGAGTGTCTATACTTCAGGGTCCCTTACACCTCAACTGCATCTCTCCATTTTTGTCTTATCTGTAAGTTTTCTCATAGCAGATTGTACCTTCTTGAACCTGTTCGATTTGTAAGATAAGAGCTGCTCTCTATAGTATCATAAAACTTGATATCCCACCAATTCCTGGAGCCTTGTTTTTCTTTAATGTCTTCAGTGTAGCTTGGATTTCTTCTTTCAGTACCATTGGTTCTTGATCATATGCTATCTCTTGAACGTTTGAATATTGACCAGCTGTTTTGAGTACAATGACTCTATGTATTCCTTCCATCTTCTTTTGATACTTCCAGCATCTCTCAATATTCTGTCCATAGAATCTTTCAATCTTGCACCTCAAGGCTTGAGTTTTTTCTTTAGTTCTTTCAGCTTAAGATATGCTAAGCATATTCTTCCTTTATGTTTTTTAACTCCAGGTCTTTGCATATTCTTTTATAAAACATTATTTTATCTTCTCAAGCTATCTATTGAAATTTCTGCTCAACTCTTTAACAGTATCATTTCTTCCCTTTGCTTTAGTTACTCTACTATCAAGAGCAAGTTTCAGAGTCACTTCTGACATCCACTTTGATCTTTTCATTCTTTCCTCTTTTTAATGACCTTTTGCTTTCTTCCTATATGTCATTCCACAGCTCACTGGGTCTTCTGTCAATAGTGTTCAATGCCTCAAATCTGTTCTTGAGATGTCCTCAAATCAGAAGTGGCATAGATTCAAGGTCATATTTTGACTTATGGATTTGTTTGAATTTTCTTCAGTTTGAACTTACACATGAGCAACTGATGGTCTCTTTCACAGTCAGCCCCTGGCTTCATTTTGGCTATTAGTCTTGATCTTCTCCATCATCTTTTCCCACAGATGTAGCCAATTTGACTTCTGTGTTTTCCATCTGGAGAAGCCCACGTGTATTTGCTGTTAATGTTGATGAAAAAAGTATTTGTGATTAAGAAGTCATTGTTCTTCCAAAGTCATTGGATTCTCCAGCTTTGTTTCTATCATCAAGGCCATATTTTCCAACTATTGTTCCTTCCTCTTTGTTTCCAATGTTTCCAGCCCAATCGCCAGTAATTATCAATGTAGTTTGAGTGTATGTTTGATCAATTTCAGATAGAAAAAATTTGTAGAATTCTTCAATTTCTTCATCTAGCTTTAGTGGTTGGTGCATAAATTGGAACGATAGTTGTAATGACTGGATATCCTTGTATACAGATAGATATTATTCTGTCACAAACAGCATTGTACTTCAAGATGGATCTTGACATATCTTTTTTTGATGGTGAATGTGATGCCATTTCTCTGGAATTTGTCATTTCTGGCATAGTAAACTGTCTGATTAAAAATGGTTAATATGATGGCCATTTAAAAAATGGCCAGTCCATTTTAGCTCATTAATGCCAAGTTTATCGATCTTTATGAATTTCATTTCAATTTTTACAACTTTCATTTTCCTAGGTTCATACCTCATACATTGCAAATCCAAATTATAAACAGATGTTTACAGCTGTTTCTTCTCAATTTGAGTCATTTCCCATCAGCAAATGAAGGTCCTGGCAGCTGTACTCCATTCACGTCACTATGGTCCCGTCTACCATGCGAAGGTAGCTGCTCCTCAGTCATATTCTGAGTGCCTTCCACTCCGACCAGCTCATCTTCTGCATGACGTCCGACATTGTTCCAGAGCCACTGGTGAGGTTTTCTGTATCTTACAATGGTCCACTGGTCATAAAGTTGTCGGGTGCTAGTTTTCCTGAAATGGACAGTCTATTCTTTCTTCGTAGTCTGTTCTTAGTCTAGACGCTCTGCTGAAACCTGCTCACTTTGGGTGACCCTGCTGGTATTTGAAATACCACTAACAGCTTCCAGCATCACAACAAGCCACCACGGTACTATGAACTGGTAGCCAAGTGGTAGAGACACTGATGAATCTATATCAGGATGATATGGTCCCTAATTGAGATTTTTGTCCTGAAGTTACCAAGTGTTTTAAGGATTTCAGTGGAGATAGTGCCTTGTTGAAACACAAGTTACTCCGTTTTCCAAGACTAAGTTCAAATAAGGGCCAATTCTTGGCCTGAGACTCTAGTTCCCACAGGAGCAGTACAGGTTGAACTAGTTTGATGAATTTTAGCATTGAATGTTAAGAGAGGAACAGTGATTAAAAAAAAAAGACTACCTTTTGGAGAAACTAAGAATATATAAACTTCCACACTTCCCCACTAAATCTGAGGCTGATGATCAGATCTTGTCTGAAAGTTGCTTCGACACTGAACTGGCAGCACAGGCATGGCAAAGTTGAGCAGCATCTCCATCCCTTGGGTGGAAAGGTTGCAGGAGTTTCACACAAGTGAAGGGGCCCTAAAGAAGATGGCAGGGATGTAATGGAGTTTTGCTAACAGTTCCTAAGGTGACCATTATGTGGGAAATAAAACCCCGACAGCAAAAGACTAGAAGATCCACTAGTGGAATGTACCGAGCTGGGGGGAGAGTGAAGTTGAGTTTTATCAGAATTCCCATGCCAACTTCCTACCAAGATCATACCATAAGATCATTTGGAGAACTAGCATTTGGTTACCTGCCACATGGAAGTAACTGATGGTGAACTGGTATTAAACAGGAAAACCTGAACAATCCACGAAAAGGGTTAGACAAGTGTAATAAATAGCTTTGTGGGTCTTCTAGCCATAATCGTTGTGACTCCCACATAGTGATTGTGTGGGTCTATGCAAACAAGGTACATGGACCCTGTGACTATTGATGTTATTTGTCATCTTCAGTGACACACATGACTTTCAGTTGTTTGGCAGTTATATGCTGATGTTATTATCCTCCAGTGTTTCAATTTCTGATCCTATGTACCTTGACTCCATTTTGTGATGTGTTATAAATCGTAGCCGCTATGCATGTGATTATGGTCTCATTGGGAGTGAGTTGTCCATTATATTAATAAGGCAGCATGTATATTTAGTCACTCCCTTACTAGAGAGGCACCTTAAGTCACCACCCTTGCCCTAGTTACCCTTAGCACTCTTATTCAAGTCACACCCTTGCAGTATCTTGCTCAAGGAAGGACATTTCCTTGAGAGTATGGTCTATATTCAATATAGTGTTCACTTCAGCAGCACATATACTACAATGGGAATGACACAGAGAAAATCAACATGGCCCCTAGGCAAAGATGACATGAAAACGTGTGAAGCATTCTATATCCAATATATATGTATGCTCTGGCAGAGTTAATTCTCCAGCTCTGGATCCTGAATCTGGTTTGTCATCACCTGAGTGCTGGTACTTGGAACTTGAGCCAGCAACCTGTCATCTTCATTGCCTAGGTTTAGCTCTTGTAACCATGTGAGTCAGGGGAAGCCTTTGGCTCAATACTTAACCCAGAGATTTGGGGAGTTGCTAGCATTCACAACCATGTGAACCATTTTCTTGATGTTTCATGAATTCCATAAGATGATGCAGTGAATTACAGAACCTAAAGACAGGAGAGGGATTACTGTGGGAGGAGAAATAGTTGATGTTAAAGATAATGGGCTGGAACACCAGTTTGAAAAAGTTGGATATTTGGAACACCTTTAAAGAACCACCTTATAAGAATGAGCTTTGTGCCGATCTTTATTTTGTAAATTATTCATTCAAATGTCCCCATCATCTGAGGAACTCCCAATAAGTGAACTGAGCTTCTCCTCAAACTCACCTGAAGCCCTGAGCCTTAAGGCTGAAACTCTAGTGTAAAAAGAAGCCGATGACTGCTATTCCCAGGATATACAACTGGCAGTCGTTGGACTTTGGTTTGGATCTCTGTCTTGAAGATGCCCCATGAAGGATGGGCTGGGGCTATCATACTTACTGTTCTAATGCTCTTGCTTTATTATGCCATGTATTAATCTGGTAGGCATGGTTCTGCTACTGTCAATGAATCTCACTGAAAGTTTCACCCTATCACCAATCTCCACTGTTTGGGTAAATAGTACTTCATCTGTATAAGTCAACAATTCATGTATTTCTATCTAAAAGGCAGCCTCTGCATGTGCACTTTCCTTTTCTCATCAGTGTTTAAACTTTATAGCACTGGTTAAATTAGTGACAACGAATTCAGATTGTTGGCCAACTGTAGTCCCTTGTTCCTGTAGTTGTTCTTTTATTGGCTATCAGTCAGGGACCACCCCAAAGCTCCTAAACTCTGCCAGTATTCCTTGGCACACAGCCCCTCCATCTTTAAGCCAGTACTGATATCTGAAGCCCACTTGCCTTTGGAGAAAGGGCATGCAAGCTACAGTGGTGGTTGCCATGCTCAGTGGGTACCTTTAGGGGCCAGAGAACCCATACCCTGGAGGCTAGCCCTCTCTTTCTTGTCACTCAATTTTATGCTGCACTGTGGTGATGTGTGAAACTGTCTAACCACAGCAACCAGCACTGAAGACATGAGGAACATGTATTGACAAACACAACATTGCAATGGGCTGTTATGTAAGTACCGGGCTGTTTATTTAATTCACTGCTACTCAGACTTGCAGATTAAAAAAGAAAATAGCACTTTTTCTCCTTAAAATTATTCCTGAGCCTGCCCTACAGTTTAATTAGAAAACTAATTAAATGTTCAGTCTCTCAAATATGGCCAGACTGGATAATTTAAACAGCTGTTTTCAGTGCCTCCTACACAGATATGGTCAGTCTTTTTCTCAGATTTTCCTCATCCCCTGCTTCTTTCCTTAAGTGGGTGGTGGGTCCCACTTAATCTTATGCTGTGCTTTCAGTTCTCATGTCCCTTGGTTTTCAGCCCAACATCCCTGTCCACTTGCTCATTCACAATCTGCTAGCCCGGTAATGCCACCCAGAGGTTAAAGCCCATTCCCAGGTAGACAAATCTGATCCCATTTTGATTGCACTGAGAACCCCTTGTCCTTAGCAGCTGCTTGCTTTTCATTTCTCCGGAGAAAGAAGTGGCAGTCTGCTTCCACAGAGATGGTAGCTTGGGAAGCCTATTCCAGAGGGTAGCTAGGAGTCAGGGTCCGCTCGATGGCAGCGGGAATAGGTGCTTCATTTCTGGCTAAAAGATGGCGGTGCGGTGGGGGGAGAGGACACAGCTTTCTTGATTTCCAGTGTAGCTACGTCGTTGTTCGTTGTCTTTGAGTGGCCTCAGGCCCCCAGCAGCCTTGGGTCACAGAAAGAGAGGTCCCTTGGCCCTGAGCCGTCTTCGTATTTGAGCACATTGTGATGGTTGGTGTGTCAAGCCATCTTATTTCGGGTTTCCTTTATTTTCATTAGCTCTCTACTTTCTCTACAAATGTGGTATATTTTTAATTTGACATTTTATGCAGCATTTCCATATGTACAAGAAAGTGTACCTATTGTTCGAACACTAAGTGTTGACCGGAAAACTGACTCCGTTTTTACAAATGGAATTGAATCAATTAAACAACCGGTGCATCAAATTGCCAAGTTAAAACCGAGGGAAGGGGGCCCGTTTCACAGAAGGTCCAAGTTCCCTTCAAGGCCTGCCAAAATCCTTGTCGCTCGTCATCCCAAAGACAAACTCAATTAGTAGGCTTGCTTCCTCAGTTCTTTGAGACATTTTCATATGTTGCTTGAAAAATTATCATCTTATCCTATACTAAAATGTTTAAAACCTTAAAAAAATTTTTTTTACATTTAAAAAAGTATTCTAGTGACATACCAGTCACTTGCTTTTTTGTCCACTAGGGGCTGTCGGGGCCTCTCCAGATGAGCACAGACCCACCCATTCCTTTCCCAGCCTCATGGCACAGCGTACAGTGTATGCATCTACAACAGTCATCAGTCACTTCATGTCTTTTGGATGTTCTTGGTGTTTCCAGTGTTTTCCTATGAGGAGCTTTATAGTGAACATGCTCGAGCATGTGTGTGCGTTCCTAAGTGCCAGCATTCCTCAAAAAGAGACACTAAGATCTAGGATTTTGGAGTCACAGCACACGTTTTTGTTTAAACCCACATTGCCAAACTGCCTTTCAAAGCGTCTGTGTCAATTTTCTACTCCCACCTGCAGTGTATATGTGCTCCTGTTTTCTCACACCTTTATCAATATGTTCTATCAAAGTGTTTCATTGTTGATGCTCATTGGCTGATTGTACTTTTTTTGCTCTATATTACCTATATCCCTATCTTTCCATGCCTCTATTGATTTGTTTAGAGTCCTCCGTCCCCCACACCTTTGTTTTCTAAGAGTTGTGTTAGTCTGGGTAGACTAGAGAAACAAATTCATAGACACTCATGTGTATATGAAGGAGCTTTATATACAAGAGCTGTTGAATATTGAGAAAACATCCCAGCCCAGTCCAGATCAAGTCCATA